GACCCCCAAATTTGGGGAGGGGGGAAATGTGAGACCCCCAAATTTGGGGAGGGGTCAGCAGCACCTGGAGACCCCCCCCAAAAATAAAAACCAGCCCCAGACCCCCAAGGACCCCCCCAAAAAAATCCTGGCTCAGAGAGACCCCCAAAAACTTCCCCAAATTAATGAGGGAGGAAAGTGGGACCCCCAAATTTGGGGAGGGGTCAGCAGCGCCTGGGGACCCCCCAAAAACAGCCCCAGACCCCCAAGGACCCCCCCAAAAAAATCCCGGCCCAGAGAGACCCCCAAAAACTTCCCCAAATTAATGAGAGAGGAAAAGTGGGACCCCCAAATTTGGGGAGGGGGAAAAGTGGGACCCCCAAATTTGGGGAGGGGTCAGCAGCACCTGGAGACTCCCCCCCAAAAAATAAAACCAGCCCCAGACCCCCAAGGACCCCCCAAAAAATCCCAGCTCAGATGGAGCCCCCAAACTCCCCAGAGTGAACCCAAAATGCCCCAAATCCCCCCAAAAAGTCTCAAAATCTCCCCAAAACGATCCCAAATTCCTCGATAATCGCCCCAAAACCTCCTGCAGCCCACCCCGACCCCTCCCCTGCCCAGGTGTGCCCAGGTGTGCCCAGGTGTGCCCAGGTGTGTCCAGGGTGTGTCCCAGGTGTGCCCAGGTGTGTTACCTGTCCCAGGTGTGTCCAGGTGTGTCCCAGGTGTGCCCAGGTGTGTTACCTGTCCCAGGTGTGCTCTCACCTGTTCCACGAGTGCCGCGATCTCCTGCTCGGCCTTGCTCAGCCCTCACCTGCCCCAGGTGTGTCCCAGGTGTGCCCAGGTGTGCCCAGGTGTGTCCCTCACCTCCCCAGGTGTGTCCCAGGTGTGTCCCAGGCGTGCTCTCACCTGCCCAGGTGTGTCCCTCACCTGTTCCACCAGTGCCGCGATCTCCTGCTCGGCCTTGCTCAGCCCTCACCTGCCCCAGGTGTGTCCCAGGTGTGTCCCAGGTGTGTTTGTATCCCCAGGTGTGTCTCACCTGTCCCAGGTGTGTCCCAGCTGTGTCTCACCTGTCCCAGGTATCCCTCACCTGCCCCAGGTGTGTCCCAGGTGTGTCCCAGGTGTGTTTCTCACCTCCCCAGGTGTGTTACCTGTCCCAGGTGTGTTTCTCACCTGCTCCACGAGCGCGGCGATCTCCTGCTCGGCCTTGCTCAGCCCTCACCTGCCCCAGGTGTGTCCCAGGTGTGTCCCTCACCTGCCCCAGGTGTGCCCAGGTGCTCTCACCTGCTCCATGAGCGCGGCGATCTCCTGCTCGGCCTTGCTCAGCCCTCACCTGCCCCAGGTGTGTCCAGGTGTATCCCAGGTGTGCCCAGGCGTGTCCCAGGTGTGTTACCTGTCCCAGGTGTGCTCACCTGTTCCACGAGTGCCGTGATCTCCTGCTCGGCCTTGCTCAGCCCTCACCTGCCCCAGCTGTGTCCCAGGTGTGTGGGGACATTGAGACATATTTTGGACATTGGGGACATTGGGAGCAATGGGGACACTGAGGGCAATGGGGACATTGGGGACACTGGGGACATTGGGGACACGGGGCCACGCGCTCGGCCTGCGCCTGCGAGGCCACCCGGATGTCCTCGGGGTCCTCGGCCCCGCACAGCGCCTGCGGACACGGGGACACTCAGGGGACACTGGGGACACGGGGACACTCAGGGGACACTGGGGACACGGGGACACTCAGGGGATTGGGGACACTGGGGACACTGGGGACATTGGGGACATTGGGAGCAATGGGGACATTCAGACGTATTTTGGATATTGGGGACACTAAGGGCATTGGGGACATCGGGGACATTGGAGGTGTTGGGGACATTGGAAACATTGGGGACACTGGGGATAATTAGAGACATTGAGGACATTGGGGACAACGGGGACATTGGGGACATTCAGGGGATTGGGGACACGGGGACACTCAGGGGACATTCAGGGTGTTTGGGACTTTGGGGACATTGAGGACATTGCGGACACTGGGGGCAATGGGGACACTCAGGGGACTGGGGACAATGGGGACATTGGGGACATTGGGAACACTGGGGACATTGGGGACATTGGGGACAATGGGGACATTGGGGACATTGGGAACACTGGGGACATTGGGGACATTGGGGACAGTGGGGGCATTGGGGACATTGAGAGCAATGGGGACACTGGGGATAATTGCAGACATTGAGAACATTGGGGACACTGCAGACATTGGAGGCTATGGGGACATTGGGGACACTCAGGGGACATTGGGGACACTGGGGACATTCAGGGGATTGGGGACATCGAGGACATCCGGGCGTATTTTTGATATTGGGGACACTGGGGACACTGGGGACATTGGAGGTGTTGGGGACATTGGGGACACTGAGAACATTGGGGACAATGGGGACATTGAGACATATTTTGGACATTGGGGACATTGGGAGCAATGGGGACACTGAGGGCAATGGGGACATTGGGGACACTGGGGACACTGGGGACACTGGGGACACGGGGCCACGCGCTCGGCCTGCGCCTGCGAGGCCGCGCGGATGTCCTCGGGGTCCTCGGCCCCGCACAGCGCCTGGGGACACGGGGACACTCAGGGGCCACTGGGGACACGGGGACACTCAGGGGACATTGGGGACATTGAGGGGACACTCAGGGGACACTGGGGACATTTGGGGTGTTTGGGACATTGGGGACATTGGGGACATTGGGGACTTTGGGGACATTGGAGGTGTTTGGGACGTTGGGGACATTGGAAACTCTGAGGACGCTGGGGATAAATAGGGACATTGGGGACATTGGGGACATTGAGAACATTGGGGACACTGCAGACATTGGAGGCTATGGGGACATTGGGGACACTCAGGGGACATTGGGGACACTGGGGACATTCAGGGGATTGGGGACATCGAGGACATCCGGGCGTATTTTTGATATTGGGGACA